GATGTGTGTGGAAGGTTTAAAGAAGAATTAGACAACAAAGTAGTAGAGGATTTCAATAAATTGGTTCAAGATGGATCAATTGATGAATATCTTGAAAAATTTGAGGAATTGAAATCTTTAATGCTGCAAAGAACTCCTATATTACCTGAAGATTACTTTGTAGCCAGCTTTATTGGTGGATTGAAGTCCCATTTGAAACCATTTGTTAAGGCGCTAAAACCTACATGTTTGGATGAGGCTGTACAGTTTGCCAGGTTACAGGAGGATGCAGTGCAAGCCACTAGAAATGTGTCAAGGACAAACCCTAAACCATTTCAATCTACTGCCTTGTTGCCTACGCCTAAGGGAGATATGTCATATAATGGTAACAACTCTTTCAGTGGCTACAAGAGTCAAACTAGCAACAGTTTTGCTCCTGCGAGTAGTAATAATGGATCAGTGAACAGTAATGCAAGGAGTTTCAGACCCACTAAGATTTTATCTGCAGCAGAAAGGGCAGAGAAGAGTGCTAAGGGTCTATGTTACTTTTGTGATCAACCATATGAAAGGGGGCACAAGTGCGCCACCAGGAAAACACAACTATTCTTGGTAGAGATTCCTGGAGATGAAGTGGATGATGACATAGGTGAAGGGGAAGCCCTTGATGAAAACATCAATTTTGAGATACTGGAGACAGAACCTTGCATCTCATTCCATGCTGTTAATGGAATTGCAGGCTACCAAACCATGAGGGTCACTGGACATTTTGGGAAGAAGGCCATCCAAATTCTAGTGGATTCTGGTAGTACCCATAACTTCCTGGATATTGAGCTGGCCAAGAAGTTGGGATGCAAGTTGGAGCCTATATCACTACAACCAGTTACAGTAGCAGATGGAAGTACATTAAAATGCCAGTATACTTGTAAGAACTTCAAATGGAGGTTATAGGGAACTGATTTCTGTACAGATATGTTCCTCATTCCTTTGGGAAGTTGTGATGTGGTATTGGGAGTTAAATGGCTAAGCACTTTGGGCACTATCAAATGGAATTTTAAGGAACTACAAATGGAGTTCAATTTTAAGGGGAAGGGTCATGTACTGAGGGGACTGCAAGGCCCTAAAGTTAAACTCGTAGAAGGTTCACAGCTGCCTAAGGTAATGGGCGAGGCTTGTCATCTTTGTATGATCCAAGCTGTGATTCCTGACGAGTGGCAGTGTCTGACTACTTCTGTTAAGAGCAATCATGTGTGGATAACTGAGTTGTTAGAGCAATATGCAGATTTGTTTGAAGATCCTACTGAACTACCACCCATGAGAGGCCCATTTGACCATAGAATTCCTCTCAAACAAGGTGCTACACCCATTAGCATCAGACCTTACAGATATGCACTCAAACAAAAGGATGTAATTGAGAAATTGGTTGAAGAGATGCTGGATAGAGGGATAATTCAACATAGCTGCAGCCCATTTGCATTTCCAGTGGTGTTGGTAGGAAAGAAAGATGGAACATGGAGGCTATGTGTGGATTATAGGGAACTTAACAAGCAAACTATTAAGGATAAGTTTCCTATACCACTGGTTGAAGAACTCATTGATGAGTTAGCAGGAGCCAAAGTATTCAGCAAGATTGATTTGAAGGCTGGTTATCACCAAATCAGGATGGCAA